GAAGATACTAACTTCATCTTATTGCAGGGAGTAAATGAATGCAAATTTCTGCAGTGTGTTTTCGACACAAGTAAAGATAAAACTCTCCTCTGTTGTTGGATCTGTTTGGGAAAACGCTGTGGGATGTTAGTGTGAATTTTGGAGTATTGACATGGGGAGAAAACACGATGGACTGTTGAGGTGACTTCATTTTCTACCATCTGAATGCAAAACTGCTGTAACGATGACACCAGGTATTTTAGAATCATGGAAGTCTGTGACTTCTCAGTGTTTACTCGATGTGTATAAATTGCTTTTTACATACACAACTGTAATGCTGTACTTAAAGCACCAGGCTGGTTATACATGTAGTGAAGATACATGGCTATTTTAAATTAATTAAATATATCCAGTGCCATATTTTTTTTTTTTTTTTTCTTGGAGGCTTAGTTTGTATTCACTAAGTTTAACTTAGTTAAACTTATACATACAATCTAGTTATTCAACTGCTATAATTGTATTTTCTATTTTTACTTTATTGTTACCACTGTTTAAAAGCACCATAACAATGCAAGTTGTATTTATGAACATGATGTGCAATTATTCAGTTCCACGCAGCGCTGCAGGTCAGACCTGGATTAGATGTAAAGTGTACCTGTGACACAGATTGATGTTTTTCTCCACTTACTGCTGCCTTCTTTGGTTTTTACTCCAGATCAGCTTCTCTTATTATGTTGTTCTCATGAGCCTTTTTAATGCAATATTACGAGGGGAAATAAAGATATTCTTAAAGAAAAAACTAGTGGTTTTTTTTGTTTGTTTGTTTGTTTTTGTTGCTTTGAAACATCTCTCCCCCAGTTTAGCAGATTGCTCATGAAGAAACCTGTTGGGTGTCTGTATATTTCTGTGCAACCCTCAACACCAGCGCTGACTTACTTGCCTCAACTGATATCACCAAATAAATTTATGTTCAGGCTATTTTTCTCACAGACAGTGCTGTGAAAAAGTATCTGCCCTTTTCCTTTTCTTGCATGCTTCAGATCCTCAAACAAATTTTAATAGGCAAAGATAACCTGAGTAAATACAAAATGTAGTTTTTAAATGACAATTTGATTTATGACGGGGGAAAAAGTTATTCAAACCTACCTGGCCCTATGTGAAAAGCAATCGCCGTATTTGTTTAATCACGAATTAACTTTGACCACATTTTATTTAGAAAACTGAGTTTAATTTCATTTACCACAAACAGATTTGAGTAGTGCCAGACCTGCTGAATCAAGAAATCACTGACAAAGTGAAGCAGGCTAAATGATCTCAATAAGCAAACATTGACACCCACAAACATTTTGCAGCAGGATAAGATCCGAAACACACCAGCATGTCCATTTTTTCATGGTCTAGTCAAAGTCCAGACTTAAATCCGATTGAGATGCTTTGGCATGACCCTAAATGGGCCGTTCATACTTGAGAACCCTCCAGTATGACTCCTTGACTTTTAGTAGAGCTTTAAAAAGTAGAGTAAAGAACTGACCTCCTTTAAAATAGCCTCACTCACAGCCAAGTCACTCAAGTCCAAGGATGACATTTTTTTTAATGTTTATCATTGGCTTCACATTTCTGTTCGCAGTTGCTGACGCTTTTCTGCTTGATGTTGTGCTGCTTCTTTTTTTGTTGTTGCAGAAGCTACACATAGAATCAAGTAAGCATGTGGTTTTTCTTATAAGTCTTCAAGTCATCTTTAGGACATCATTTTAAAATAACCAACACGCAGTAACTAACAAAGAAAGGATGTATTTATCAATAACTCTTTGCAAAGAATAGAAATGTACCCTCTATATGCTTACCATTGTAACAGATAAATGGTTTAAGGTAAGTACAACCTCTGTCCCAAAGTGCTTTGAGAGGAGGACTGCACAATGAACAGACTCCATCATTATTTGGTTGATCAGTGGCCCAGTATCTGAAGGAGCTGTCGCTCTGGTCTGACCATTTCCACTCATCGTTGAACAAACCGATCCAGACTGAGGACAGCGAGCCATTGTTATTGTCACTGATTATTTGCTGCAATGCCAGAGTTTCAGTGTCTCCCCCTGCACTGGCCAAGTCTTTATTCATCACTCGACAATCTTGTTGGGCATCAGTCCAGCTCTTCTCTTGAAAAACAACATACAACCCAACGGAGCCAATGTCTGTGAATAATTTTTACACAGAAAAATTCAATTACATGTAGAAAACAACATATCACTGCTGGCTTTTATGCTGTTGGGTAACAATAAAGATGAATTTGAATTCAGGCGACTGGACAATGAGGGCAATAATTTGGAACTTTTAACTGTATTCTCATAGGTTTTATATCTTTTGTTAAAGACCTCACCCATTGCCATTCATACAACAGCAAAGTATTTATGCAATAGATAAACAATTAAAAGACAGAAAAAATCCTGATTTCCACCATCTATCATTGATTTTTATTATTATTATTATTATTATTATTATTATTATTTATTTATTTATTTATTTATTTTTACAGTGGATCCATAGTAATAAACAAGCAAACAAAGCACAAATACACTGCGGTTCCAATGTTTCGAACAGTTTAAACACATTTCACATCTTTTAAACACACAGTGGCATCAAGTTGGGGTTTTAATTTGGTTTGGGTTTTTTTTGGGCTTAACAATGATTCTTTTTTCAGAAGCTGAGCGGTAGGCTACATCTTACTACCCTTCATCTCTGTGACAAAACTGTCAAAGATGGGGTAAAAGAAATGGGAATGATGCGCTGGAAAGCTAAAGAAAACAGTCGTGCTTTCTGAGGTTTGTTCTTTATCCTTGTTTATTATTTGTTTTTGTTTTTTGCATTTGGTTTCTTCATTGCTCTAGAATTGTGATTGTTGTTATTGCTTAGTGTTATTTCTCATTGTGTTTTTGCTGTTTTGGTTTATTGTTATAGCCTGTCTAAAGTCTCTGTGTATTTCTGCTGGTCTCTTTGTTTAGTTTAGCCTAGTTTAGTGTGTGTGTGAAACAATTAGAATATAGTATATAGCCAAAAATATTTGCTGAACTTGAACTTGAGTGACACAACCTTTTAAAACTATGACAATGAAATAATGTTTGAGATCAACATTGCCTTTTTTAAATTTTCTGCTGTCTGCTTAAACACTGACACTGATTATTCGAAGCACTATCTGAAGAGGTCCAAAAAAGTGATATTTAGAATGTTGTCAATCCAATAATAACTGCAAGAAACACAGTCTTAAATACCTCTATGAAGCATTATTATCACTGTGATCTTCAGAATCTACTGACTTTGAATGAGAGGTCAGAGGTCAGATGGAAAATAATATTTTTAATCTTTTCATATGTTAAGAATACACACCACACTTGTAAGAATTATTATTTGTAAATTATAAGGCTTTTTGTCAATTTCCAACCAATAAATAATTATATTGACCATGAAGGCCTTGGCAGATTTAATTCTGAAGTCCAAATTTACACATTCTGAATGTCTTTTGACAATTTATTAGTGTGAGCTAACACCAAGCTGCACCCAGATCACTCATTGCAATTGTTTTTTTTTTTACCTGATGGCCAGATCTTTCATAGCAAAAGATACAGTGCGCTTCTGCAGGTCGCTGCTTTTTGTCCTTCTGCCTTTCTGAAAGTCTATTTTTTTTATCCATTTCATAGTGTGTTGGTGTTTTTACTGATGGCCTATGGAATACATATTTGCATTTTTATAAACAAATTTAGCTGTGAGGAGCTGAGCAGGATGTTGTAAAGATCTAAACTGATAGATGCTATCACAGGTGCCAAAAACGTGATGTAACCAACACACTGTATTTCAATTGGGTGGTTGAAATGATCTTGTTTTATTACCTCTCCTCTATCTGTCTGTGTTCCTGCCACTTGTCTTTCTGTCTCTTATTTCAGCAGTGAGGTCACTCACTGTCATCATAAACCTTAAAATGGGACTGACAGTAATGAGAGTATTCTTATAAAATTCTTATTTTATTTACTTATTTAATTTTTAACAGCGTGACAGTTTTCTTTTATTCTATGTGGGAGCAGCTGACAACCATGAAAACGCATTTCTTTGGGATTAAAAAAGTTTCATGATATGAAATGAGAGGTGTTTCTTTCTGGCTTCCTCCAGAGATGCTGATGTTTTAGTTTCTTCAGTCAGACTTCCTCCCTCAAATATTTCTTATAGATCCTCTCTTATAACACTATCACCATTTTCACTATTTTATCTTGAGGTACACATATTTCCTTATATAAAGAAAAGTGGCCAAAGCAGTATTCAGATTGCTGTATTTATAAAAATTATGTGAAATGATCCAGTGCTAGGCAGTGCTGGGATATGGATTAGATATTAATGTGTGATAATAGTAACACTTTTTTTCTCCACTTCTTACTGCTTTCTTTTGTTTTTACTCCAGAGCAGCTTCTCTTATTATTTTGTTATAGCTGATGCAATATTATGAGAGGAATGAAAATATTTTTAATCATTATATTATAATAATCGTAGCCTATGTATTTGTTTCCTATTTGATCCCGGACCAGTCTTGATGAAATTTTGAATAAACATTGTCTCGCGAGCTGTCAGTGCCAACATCTATATGGCATATGCAAATATTTTATACAAATCCCAAAGACAAACAAAGTGATTCACTATGTTTCTTTATTATAATGTTTTAAGACAAAAGACAGCATGTGAAAAAAAATAGTGAAAGTTCATGTCTACCCTTAGGTAGGTTACAGAGTAATAAATCAACAGACTTTTATCTAACTTTTAATGAGTATTTAATATATCACATATGCATATTATATTTGCCACATGCTTAAAAAAAACCCTCCAAATGAAAGCATTCCAAATATGATGTGAGCAGACTTTAAAAACAAACAGTAAAACAAAGTCTCCCTTTATCTCTATTCGTTTAACGCTAAGCTAGTTTTGTTTATTCTCTACATGCAAAATCGTGAGTAATTTTTCACTGCAGGAAAACTTCATGTCGTATTCTAACAGGCATCCTTGATTTCCTTCTCCTCTTCCTTATGGAAAATTTTCCCATCAGGCTGGACTCTCCACTGAACCTTGGCATTCTGGTACTTTGATTGGATCTACGGGAGCATTCAAATGAGCTAGTTACAGTGTGTTACGATTATAAGTGCCTGAATCCAGTAAAAGTGACTTCTTGACTTATATCAGAGCTTTTAAAAAGACACATTAATGGAACAATTTAGAGTAGAGAACTGACCTGCTGCAGAATGGCATCACTCACACTGAAGTCATTTAAGTTCAAAGATGACTTAAATTCCACCTTAACAGTTCTGGTGTGTTTTATTTCTTTATTGGCAGAACCTTGACCTTAAAATTCACATGCATTTAATTTGTTAAATAAGCTGGAAATAAGAATGGCAGTAACTAAAAAGAACAGATACATTTGTTCGCTATAAAAATAAACAACGAGAAGTCAAAAAGGTACATGATACACTGTGGAATTATATTCTTACTCTCATAGCAGATGAAGGGTTTAGAGTAAGTACAGCCTCTGTCCATGAATCCTTTGAGAGATGGACTGTACAATGTACAGACTCCATCGTTGTTTGGTTGATCACTGGCCCAGTATCTGAAGGAGCTGTCGCTCTGGTCTGACCATTTCCAATCATCTCTGAACAAACCGATCCAGACTGAGGACAGCGCAGCGCTATTGATTATTTGCTGCAATGCCAGATTTTCCACCTGGCTCCTCGCACTGGCCAAGTCTTTGTTGTTCATGCGACAGTCCTGCTGGGCATATAGCCAGCTCGTCCCTTGAAAAACAACATACAACCCACTGGAACCAATCTCTGTGAACATTTACAACAAGAAAGATTAAAATCTAAACAAAATCACCCAGAGAGCACAACTCTTCTCGAAGGGCAAGGGCTAAAACTTTGACATTATGATAATTTTATGACAACATGCTGACTTCTGACCTTTGATCTATGAACATGAATAATTACATAGTAAAATAGTTTATTTTATTTGCATTTATGTGAAAGAGGAGCTGTGTGTATTTTGAATGATCTTTCCCATGAATGCACTGACCTTGGCATACATAAGGAAGCGTTGTTGTACAGGGTGCGCTGAACCATTTCCCATCATCCCTCATTCCTCCACAGTTGTCAGTGGAACTTGGTAAACTGGCCCAGTTACTGTATTCAACTACTCCATCACTGATCTGAGTTTCTCCCACAGACCACAGCCAGGCTGCTGGGCCTGTTTGTGTCAGGCCGATCCACATCTCTGCTGTCACACCACTGGCTGATACCATGTTCACCAGCCTCTGCATGTCATCCTGGCTGCCAATCGTGGCGAGGTTGGTGTAATTTCTCCTGCAGTAACTCTGGGCATCAGCCCAGATTTTAGCCCCGTTTATCAGGTAGAACTCCCGATGAGTGGGAGAACACAGAGTAACATAGCCTGTACAGGTGCACCAACCAAACATCAAACAAAGGAGGACTGCATCATCATAACACTGTTTAACTTCAGCATGAACGTTTCATCATAAGCAGTTAAGAAAATGGATTCATGAATGGATTTCATCACTTATGACACTTACCTGAAACTAGCAATAAAATCACTGTAAGGACCATATTTTCTCTAGGATGTAAAATAGAAAATGTTATACAATACAATAAAATCAGTTTGCATTTGTTAGCCTACTAAAGTGGTTAAAGAATTTTTAATTCAGTGGTAGTCCACTCAGTCTCAAACTTTTTAAAACCCATGAAACTGAAGCATTTCCTGCCTTACTTCATTTAATGTTACAATCACAAGTCTCTGAATGCAGAGCCAGAGCATTTAACAAATGTGCCAAAACAAATGTATGCGGCAACAAAATGAAATAAATCAACCAGTCATCAAAGAAGGTGACAATATTGTGTTCTAACATTTTGAGGGACTTTTTTCCCCTTTCAAAGCATAACTGGCATCTTGTGCTTAATCAAATCAATCCATCCATCCATCCATTCGCTTCCGCTTATCCTTTTCAGGGTCGCGGGGGGCGCTGGAGCCTATCCTAGCTGCCATAGGGCGAGAGGCGGGGTACACCCTGGACAGGTCGCCAGTCTGTCGCAGGGCTAACACACAGAGACAGACAACCATTTGCACTCACATTCATTCACACACTCACACCTAATGACAATTTGGATTATCCAATTAACCTATCCCCACAAGCTGCATGTCTTTGGACGGTGGGAGGAAGCCGGAGTACCCGGAGGGAACCCACGCAAACACGGGGAGAACATGCAAACTCCACACAGAAAGACCCCGGCCTGATGGTGGAATTGAACTCAGGACCTTCTTGCTGTGCGGCAACAGTGCTAACCACCGTGCCACCGTGCTGCCTCTAATCAAATCAATATGGAAGTAATACAGATTTTTTATTTTAAAGTTGTTTTTGTTGTTAGGTTTTGTGGTTAGATTTACAGGCAGAAGTTTTAAGGACAGTGCTTAAAGCAAATAAAAACGAGGACAGATGAGTCACTTTGGTAGCATCCACTTATTTTTTAAATGTATTTCAAAGACACTTATTTTTTGGTTTTAAATGAATTGAAGCTATTTTATTGAATAAGTCAAAAATGTTTAAATGACAAATACTAAACTTTAAGAACAGAATTGTTTGTTTTTCTGGCAGACAACAAATTTGAAACAATTTTGGAAATCGTTTAATTACTTACATAATTACTCTTATGTCCTAACTATACTTGTACAGTATGGTTAGGATCCATAACCATAACCATAGTAAGAATTGGCAACAACAACTGTCTATAACTGCCTACGTCTGCATATCTACCCTGCTCCCTCTGATAAATCACCTAACTGAGCAGCCCCATTATGTGGATACAATTACCAGCCACACCTAGTAATGATGAAAAAGAGGTTTTAAACTTTGACAGTTAAAGATTTCTTTCTTTTGTATAAAAATCTTTGGCTTTTTCACTCTTGAAAAGTTCAAATAGGATTAATATTACGGACAACCTGATACAGAAGAACACATAGACTGATTAGAGAATTACAAAGAGACACAGATGAGAACAATCAAAGAATAAGCAGGAGGACAGAGACAGTAAGTAGAACTAACAACAACAACAACAACAACAAAAATACACTACCTTAGAAAGTAGAACAGGCACCAACACAAAGACTCAAATGTATTAACTAAGAATCCAAAACTGAGTCCAGCAGAAAATCCAGCAATCCTGAGACGATTCATATACAGATTTTTTTCCAGGTCAAGTGACACTTTACATATAATTTAACTCTCCATAATTCTCAGAAACATTTAAATTACATTGATGCTTTAGCATTACTAATGTGTTTGTGTTGACAACACCTAACATCATGACATGGCAGCTGCTGTCCACCCAGATGATCAACTCCCTGCTATATTTTTAGAAACAACTCTCTTCTTACCTGATGGGAAGATATTTTATTACAAAGGATTAAATGGACAAATAGGCAGTTGTTAATCCTACTTCATTCTTCCACGTATTAGTGTTTTGTTTGTTAGCAAGTAGCCTTTGTATTTGTCTTTATGAAAATGAAGCACTGAAGCTTAGCAAAGATGCAAAAGAATATTTGCCTTCCTTAGGACAGGATGCTTATGCAATATGATTTTTAATATATATATATATATATATATGTATATATAATTTTGCAGAAAAAGTAAGGAATTTGTGTTTGGTCTATTATGTCTTTGTTGTATAATAGACCTGTCTTTGTTGTTGTTGTTAAATCTTGTACGGTTGGAAAGCCATGCATTTGTGAGTTGAGCAGAAGAGTTGAGTATGTGGGTTGCGCCTATGAGTGTACATCTATGCCACATATGGACTACAAGTCCACAAGTTCCGAAGGGAGACACGAGAAAAGGTGGTTGAGACCAAGAGAGCACAATTCCCCCTGAAGTGCAAGGGCTGAAAATATAAAAATTGTGCTGTACAGTTCTCTCAATGCCTTTTCATATGATACATTGCTTGACATGGTTTCTTGAAATTTTTTTTCAAGGTGAACTTTGATCTTGGGTGCTAACAATCAAGGTAAAATGCTTAGCCAACCTAGGTACTCATGTCCCCCAAGGCCTAGTATATTGTTGTGAACATTGAAGACGATCAATAAAAAACTGTGGGTAATATATGTGTCATGACCCTGTGCCTTCTCGGCTGACTCTGTATGGCTACAAGTGTTTTTGTTGTGCTGCATCTCTCTCTCCCCTCCCGCGCACTGCGCTCTACCGGGGCGGAGTCATGACGGCTCCAGCCCCTGGCTCGGACACCTGCAAACAATCATCTCATCTCATTCACTTCTTAAGGCGGCTGCTGAGAGTGCTTCCTCGCTGGATTATTGTGTAACACTCGTCAGTGTCATTCCTAGTCTGAGCTTTT